TCACTCAAAATCCTGGGAATCATTATTACAAAAAAGTACAAATGGAACAAGCACATTGAAAATCTGGCGACAGATTTATCCAATAGATTAAACATTATTAAATGTCTTTCAAATAAAAAATTCAACTGCAACCCAAAAACCCTTATTCAAGTCACTAAAGCAATCATCATGTCAAAAATAGATTACGGCCTTAATCTTTACGGGAATGCTCCCAAAACTATACTAAACAAACTAAAACCCACTTATCATACAGCCATAAGACTAGCACTTGGAGCACACCGTACCACTCCCATAAACAACCTCCTTTTTGAAGCAAACATCACGCCAATATGCGACAGGATTAGCCTTTCCACAGGGAAAATTCTCAAAACGCTTATGCTCTGCAAAGACTCACCCATCCACCCAATCTATTTAAAAATCAATACATCCAAGAAATCACCAAAATACCCATCAGTCCTGCATAACTCATTGAAGCTAGCCAAAAAGTCAGACCTACAAATATCGCCAAACAAGATTCACCCACAGAAATCACCACCTTGGCTTTTCAATCCTAATCTAATCAATCTTTTCCTTGGCATAACAAAAAAACCATCCACACCATCTGAAGTATATAGAAAAAAATTTCTTGAAATAAAAAATTCCTTAAACTCACACAAGTTTATATTCACAGACGGATCGAAATCCTCCTCAGGAACAGCTTTCAGCATAACCACAGAAAAATCACCTATAGCCAAATACTTACTTCCTAACTACAGTTCCATATACACAGCAGAAATAGCAGCCATCCTGGCAGCCTGTAGGTACGCTGCAGGTAAAAAAGGAAAATATGCTATCTGCTCCGATTCATACTCGTCACTATCAGCCATTAAAAACACAAACACAGACGATTTTTACACTACAGAAATAAGACACATTCTAATGACAAAAGAGAAAAAAATTTTACTGATCTGGGTACCGGGACACTGCAATATAACCGGAAACAATTTAGCAGACGAAGAAGCAAAAAACGCAGTCTCACAGCCTCTTATAACAGACCTTAACCTAAATATATCGGATATAACAACACATAGTAAGCTTAAACTTCTAGAACAGAAAGACACTCTCCTAAACAACTCATCCCAACACTACAGAGAAGTCAACTCTAACAAAAACAATATACAGCAGTATATTTTACCAAAAAGTGAAATTATAACGTGCCTAGATATTGTCAAATTTATTAGACTCCGCTTAGGTCATACCATTCTAACACACGATCACATATTAAAAAAAGATCCCACTCCTTTTTCCCAAACATGCAGTACTAAACTAACTATAAAACATATCTTCAATGAGTGCCCGAAGTATAAACACCAAACCAAAAATACCTTCACAATAACCCAAACTTAATCCTCTCCGAACCCTCCTTTACCAATATACAGAAAATATCAGAGTTCCTTAAATCTTCAAACCTTTATCATCTAATTTAGTAACTACTTAAGTAAAAATATAACTATTGTAAATATATGCTATATAAGCTAAATTCAAAAAAAAAAAAAACTGTAAAAATAGTTCACATCTATCACTAATTAGTTGCTTAAGGCCCATGCTGCTATAGCAATAAAATCTATTCTTTACTTGTTATTTAAATAACAATATAAAGTTAATAATAAATAAATAAATAAATAAATATCTAACTGAGACCGTATTATTTCAAGCAAACGGTTTGTATATGGAATAAGTAGAACAAAGACCGTATTATTACATTTGATGAAAAGTATATCGTATTACGGAACATCTTTACAACTGTTTGACAGAACTATGAGCGAAAAATATATAGTAAATAATAATTTTTGGTGTGATTAATAATACAAAATGAATAATCAGATTAATATAAATGATATAAATAAAATTCTTCGAATTATTTATTTTTAATTTTGTACTGTTTTTACTTTCAAAAATTACAATTTACCAGTGCTGTTTACTGCCTAACAAAAAGCTTGTAAATTATCCAAAGTGTTCTTAAAGAGCTTTTATCACAAGCTTTTTTTTAGGGCCACTGGTAGGATTACGTTTCTGAAAAGTTGTAAGATTTAACAATCGAAATATTTATATGGAGGCATTTTACAGTCATTTTTAAGCCTAACACTGAATTTATTGCTTTATTAAACGGAGGAGAAATTTTTTTCTAAAAATGTTTTGCAATTTGTTTAAAATATTCCTTTAACCGCTTGTTTTTAATCAAAAGGTCAACTTTTTCCCGAAAACATGTGAAAATTGATACGCTTTATGATAAAAGAAATAACACCCCGGCTAAGGATTGATTGTTAAATTACGAAACTTTTGTTTCATACTCGTTGAAATAAAAAATTTAGAAATTGTCCAATTATAGTTATTATGTTAAACCTTTTCCGAGTTGGGGGGATTCTGCAGAGTTCCGCCCATCTCACTGACTAATTTGAGTATTCCTGATAATCTTCGTGATTATATGATTAAAGTATCACTTAGTACAGAACTCCAATGCCAAACTCACCATCTCACATTAAATAAATATAGTATATTTGTATTCATGTTATTCTTTTAGTTTTAATTCACAAAAAAAATAAGTGAATTTCTTTTACATGTTTAAAAATAATATAAAACGGTTATAACATATATCTTATTCTAAGTAGATAAAAATATAATTTTGTTAGTCTATTAAAAGAGCCACTATATTTGTTTATTTAATCTAATATCTATTTTTATTTAAGTTTTTTATTTCATAACTATTTATCAAACATATGCATTTTAAATGAAATTTACCAATAAGAAGGAATGATTTTAATTACAAATATTTGTGTATACATAGTAATAACATATTTAATATTAATTTAATATTAATTATTTAAAGTAGAAAATTAAGATCCATTTATTCTCTTTCAAATAATGAATACGTTTTGTTAAGTTTTAGAAGCAATCTGATCTTATGAACAAATTTACTGATGATTTTAATGATTCTATGAATCTAACTTACTTTTGTGAGCTTCACAAGGCTGTAATAGAAACGAAAATGAAATGGCAGATAATATACATTTTCAGCAAAAAAGTATATATTGTTATATCTGATCTGATATCTGTTCTGAGTTTCAAAAGGTATAGGCTTGTCAAATTTGGAAACGATTAGGGCTTGATTGACTAAATAATAAAATATTTTTCTTTAAACAAATAAATAAACAAAACTATTTTATGAAATTTTATCCAAAAATATTCAATTGAATAGCAAATATTAATAAAAAAAAGTTTAAGTCGCTTATGTATAGTGAAAGATTTTTGTTGTCAAAATTGCATAAAATTAAATAATAAAAAATAATTTATTATAATTAAATAATAATTTAATTCATAAGTCTTAAAAATAAATATTTTGACAAAAGATTATGAATTTGGTCTAATTGGATATTTACAAAAGGTTGTACTCGTATTAAAAATTTTGCTTATTGGGCAATGAAACTGCCTTTTGAACCACTGTGTAACATCAGACAAGTCTCTCCTTGGGTTAATATTTGCATTTATTCCGAACCATATTCGGAGTAGAAACAGTTAACCCGAATATGATTTGGTCCGAATCTTTGATTTTGGCAGCTACAATACTACTTACATTTATAGTAATCAGCTGAACGAGCTATTTAGGTAAAAATTGAATAGATCTATAATAATAGATGTATATTTTTGACATCAATGCTCCAATAGAACAACTTCTAATTGTGTAAGAATTACTTGGCATCACTGCCTAGATCAGTAAATATATGAGCTTTATCAGTAAACATTGGGCTTTATCTTTACATTATATTTTACATAAGCGTTAAATACTATAAACGGACCACGAAGTATTAGCTTGTTAAAGTGTTATGGTATCCTATGGTGCATCGAAACCAAAGCGAATGCCTGCAAAAGTTCGTTCATTCGCAAGCGTCTGCTTTGGTGTGCATGCACCTTTATGGTACTCGTACATAAGCCTGAATGTAAATTTACTGAATGTTAACAGCAAATGATAATCCATGACGACCACTTTATATCATCGTTTATGATTTTTTTTACAAAAAATATAGAAATTTAAAAACAAAAGTAAACTTTTTACTGATTTTTACTGACATACTGTAAAATGAAATTGGGCAAAGAGAAATTGTTACACTCAAAGTTACAATATGATTTTGTTATCAGTAGCCAAAAACTTTTACCGAAACGATCCAGCTGATCAACCAATTTATGATAATGATGATTGGCATATTTGGCTTAAAAACTGTCTTCAGAATTGTGCGTAAATTCATCAAAGATAATACCAAATCTGTATTGAAATTCTTAGAATTGGATTTGAACATATCAAAAATATAGATTTGTCGTACTTTGATCAAAGTTGGTCCACATTGGTTGACTTACGGCCTAAAAATTTTACAGAATTGTATATTCGGAGGACAAAAACTTCCTTTGCAACATTGTATTTGGTAACGTGATATTTTCAATATGGTCTAACGCCAAAATTCCGACTTCAAAGGTACCAGATAAGCCTAAATCCAATGTTTATTTGATTTTACGTTTTGAAGTACATTATTCCTGTAGGGCTGTAAAGTCAATGATATTTGATATATGACTTAATATGAGCGTAGAAATAAAAGTTGTGTTATAAACATAGATATTTTTAATAAGGCCCAGTTCATAATGGTGCACTAGTGATCGCTCGTTGCATATTTAGAATGTATATCTATTTGACATCTATGACATTTGATACACATCTATCACATATCCATCACATATCAAGCACATAACCATCTGCTACAAAACGATTACTTCTTAATAAGTCTAACTTAAAGTATTTAGCTGTTACATTTTAAAAACTATAATTTCTATTTATTTATAATACAATACAGTGTAATTTTGCAGATTTTTAATATACGTTATGTTATATTCAACAAATATTATATTTATACAAAATATATATTATGAATGTATTTCATTTGTAGTTATTTACACCCTTTTCTATTTACTGCATACATTACTAATAGTATTTATGGGCTGAGTGTACATCACAGCAAAAGCAATAAGGTTACATGTAAGATGTTGACTCATTTATCTACGATGTCAAATGTATATCTCTTTACTTGTCACGACATAGCAAATTCAATGGCACGTGACAGTTTTTATTTGAGGATTTTAACTACCTTTTGTGTCACATAGTACTTACTAAACACGCTCTTGATTATGTTTGACAATCCTTATCATTGCAGTACACAAAAAAGACTTTATGTCTATAAAAATGCATAAATTTTACAACTATATCTGATAAATATGTATATATAACAGTAATTGTGTAGATTTAACTGATATGGATTTTTTGTTTTGCAAAGATTTATAATGAGAAATTTTTATATAATTGAGCAAATTTTATGCGCTATTTAAAGAAGTTTTCAGTGCTTGTACACCAACTCATGCAAAATATTGGTTGTAATTATATATTGTTATAAAAAGAAATGTTCAAATAGAGAAGCTGTATGTAGGAAATCTTTAACGTATCTGATTCTGGCGCTATTGAAGCCCTGCTCAAAGAATTTGTATGTGTATTGGTAAAAAACGAGTTACGTGGTTCAAGGTTCAGTTAGACGGCAGGTAACGTAAGAAATTAATTCAAAGCGAAATGCACAATCAACCAAACTTGTGTGTTTGATAGAAACGAAATAAACAAAGTACACCGTTTTTGTTTATTTCGTTGGTATCAAATACGCAGATTTGATTCGTTGTGCATTTCGCTTCGAATTAATTTCTTACGTTACCCACCGTCTAACTGAGCCTTCATTCAATCAGTTAAATTTTTAACTATTTTTTCCAAAATAAATGTGACCGTATGGCGTCAATATTGGCATGAACTTCAAAAATTGCTGGTTTGTCGGCATAAACCAAAGTCTTGACCTAATCCCATAAAAACTAATCGAGAGGTGTTAAATCGCACTAACGAGAGGGCCAGTTAATAGACCCACTTCTGGAAATAAAGTTCTTAAAGTTGTCAGATTTATTTTTTATCAAAGTAAATTTCCACAATTTGAAATCGTTGTTCTAGCGTTAAACGATGTTGATGAATTCTCAAATCTTACTGAACAGAAATGTCAACACAGTTTTATATTATCAGCTGTTAAACCATAGTTATCAACATAGATAGTTCTCTTGAATTCTCATGAAAGCACTCGATTAGGAAACAACAACTACAAACAAAAACTACAAACTATGTTCAGACACATCTTAATTTCACAAAAATCTTGATTTCATCTTTGATTGAGCGAAATTAAGTTGTTTTTCCATACCAAATTTAATTTTAATGTTAAAACGAAATTAAGGAAAATCGTTGAAACGAAGTCTGAAATTAAGGGACATTTTAAATGCAGCTATGCATAAGATAAATTTTAAACAAAAGATAAGAGATAACGAAAAACTGTCATTTTTTTCAAATAAATGCCAATGACAGTTGACTTTAATAAAACCGTGAAAATATTTTGAAACTAGTGCAAATTTTTTAATTTGAATATAGCGAAAGAACTGTAATTATTATTAATTTAAAATAGAGTGAAAAATAATAATTCACATACCTAAAATCCTCTAAAGCTAATAAAACTACTGAATGTCATCCTTAATAGTTATAATAATCAACTTTTAAAATTTCCCAGATACAAATGGTGTTTGGAGCATGTAATTTTTAACATTCAATTTGTAAACAAAAAATTTGTATGATTTCCTTAATTTGGGAAAAAGTTAATTAATTAACTTTAAATTGTATAAAGTTGTTGAAATAACATGGGAATCAGATAAATGCAGAGAAGTCCGTATTTTAGAATACGCACTATATAATATTATTGGATTACCTTGACAAAGGAAGAAGCTTAAGCTGAAAAGTAAATAAGGTTCTAAGTATATGTGAAAAAACGAAGGAAGAAGTCGTCTCACATTTGCTAAATTAAGTCAATGTCTAGTGCTAGTTCACAGATCTCAAAAGAGTACTCTATGGAATTAGATTTTACTTCAGATTTTGAGACTGAAGTCAAATTGTTCTTTAGTATGACAATGATGTGTTAGGAAAACGATGAAATGATTATATAACTGAAAAAAGCGCCAAAAACAATGACTACAGACTATTTTGGAAAACAGGAAGACTATTTTTTAGTAATTGGTTCCGTAACTTACTGACTAAGGTGTTATTGATTATACTAATTAAGCACATAAACATGCGAATATGTAAATTAATGAACAATAGTTTTTTTTAGGTTTTCTGAAACACAAAAATTTTTATGAATTTGGATGTATACCTTTGATATCTAAAATTGTAAAACCATTATTTATATACCTTTTTTAAGTATTACTTCTTCGGAGTTAATTGTAGAATTACTTAAGACACCAGTAATTTTAGCTCCACCATTTGGAGATGTTCTGCATGAATTGTGATGCGGGCTTGATGAATGGCTTCCATATACAGCTGTTGGAATAGGTGAATCATTACCACTTGGAGGCGGAGAGTACCATGATGTGTTATGAGAATGTGGTGGCCAACACTGATTCGTCGACGTTTGGTTTGATACTAATGAGTGCATTGGATGTGTATGATGTGATGCCATTAACTGTGGTTGTTGATGATGATTTTTCAATATTCGTAGTTTATCGTACACAGGAGCAGACTGAGGAATATTATTAGACTCACATCCATTACTTTCAATTGAATTTATTTGAGATGTTCCTTGCATTAAGGCATTATTTAAAATATTTGATGATGTCGATGTGCAACTATTTAATAAATCTCTATTTTTAGACGATGGCGTTTGTTGCTGTTGCTCTTTTTGTGCTGCTAAATTTCGTAAAACCCGATTAATTGATGAAACCTATTTAGAATATAGTATTAATAAATAATTTTGAACTGGTATTTTTTAAGCATAGATAAAAATTTAATTAAATTAATTCTATTCTGATTTTCCCCTTTTTACTGTAATCTAAAATGTAAAAATGTAACATTACGAATATTTTACAAATATGTAATGCAAAATTTTATTAAAAAACCAAGCTAAGGCTACAAATAACAAAAGCTGTAAATACAAATGAGTTTGTTTATTTACAATACTTTTGACTAATTTATATACTATAATTATATTAGCATATAGTATGTTTGATTTTTGATTAAATATTGATTATTTATTTCATGGTTGTTATTTATTATTCACTATTTAGAGGCATGATTAAGTAGTTTCATAGTTTCATTTCTAGTTAAGTTAGATTTATAAATTACTGGAACATTAATAAGTCAAGTAGTGTGCTAATGGATCTTATCTTAATATCTAATTATACGACGTTCATATAATTTATTCCATTGGATAACAAATCTAATGAACGCGCATTGTTATTTGTTAATTAAGTTAAAGATCCAGCTAGAATTGTGTAATACTGTCATATGCAAGTGATATTATAGAATATACTGCCAATGATAGTATCTACATTGATTTCGTGCAAGCCTACATCTGCAGTCTATTTAATAAATTAATCTATGCACTTGTTGCAATAGCAAAATGTAAATGCAAATGATCCTAGCGATCAGATTAGATTGATATGGATTAATGCCAAACTCAAAATTCATATCATATCAAGGTTGATATGGATTAAATTGATGTCTCAAAATTTTATCAAATAAATTTTTTTTACTTTGGATTCTTATTCGTTGACATGCAGATTTTTTTTTAACAAATTGCCAAACATTAAAATCCTTGTCATCGCTGTGTCACAAGACGTCACCACAGATTTGATTGTACGATAGCTATTTATATGTTCCGATGCTTTCGTGTGTGGTAAGTTTCGGACGTCGCATACAGATCATTAACATACAGATGTTTTTTCATATTCCGCACTTGACACTATTTTTCTAGCCTATCTAACATTTTTTTTGCAAAACCTGTCCTTATTCTGAAAGTACCACAATATCTTTACCGTGTAAGAGAAGTCAAAGATTTTTTAGCTACTTGCAATCCCACTTCTCTGTAATCATGTAAATCATTTAAAAACATAATGAAGACTTGCCATATTAGTCACTCTGCCTTACTTCTATTCTTGACTATAATACTTGGAACTTTTTACTTCATTCTATAACAGGGTCCTTTAATAGTTAGAACTTTTCGCCTCTGTTTGGATTTATATGCTTTTTGGATAATCAAAAATTTTGTGGAAATACCCATCGTGAATTGTTTATGCACAAAAGCATTATTAGAAGCTCTGTGAAACGTTGCACCAAACTCTACAATTGATGTTAGATTATCACTGTTATCACTTGTTAAACATTTTAGTAAAAAAGCATAATTATTGTTTGGCACAAGATTCAGTATGTTTTTAAAATAATGCTCGATTTAACCAATTTCAATTTTTGAAACTGCTTCAAGCTTTACTAGATGGTCCTAGATGGCGGCAGCCATTGTCATCCTTCACTCTATCTAATTTCAGTTCGAGTTGGTTCTGCTTGCAAATCAACTAAGATTTTTTATGTACTATGAAATAGTAATGTATTATTATTATTATTATAATTATAATAATTAATAAAAATTAATTAATTATTATAATAAAATTATCATCAACATTTCAATAGTTTTTATTTCCTTGTATGGACATCTAAGATTGTTATTGTATTTAATGTGAAATAGGCAAAGTTAAAGTGCTGAAATCATTTGCATTTGCAATAATGGTTTTGATGTTAGTAATCAGTAACTACGTTTTGAAGATTAATAGTAGAATCAATAGTTGGTTCCAAATCGCACTTTATAATACTTTTTTAATTATTTATTACTTATATTATTTTTAATTTGCTTCGTCTACATGTAAAACAACGCTTAAATCTTTCGTAGAATGGTGAAAACCTGGCTATTATTACCAAAATTTGATGAAGTAAATAGTTTAAGAATTGTTTAAGAGTCATTGTGTTGATTTATAATGATTTATATGAACTGTATGAATATATAAAATTTGAAATAATCTGATTGTTAAGAATATATGTTTATTTATAGTAGGACTACACACCATATTCGACACTTGTTCTGTGCTGTTCTCTTATTTATTTTATATACATTTATTTAGTTTTTTATAAAAATGTTGTTTCCACTAATCTTAAGTTAGCGTTAGCTTAAGTTATGTTTTGTTAAATAAAATAAAATAAAATGAAGAAAATAATAGAAAAATAAATATATACTCGACAAATGCCAATAGAAAAGAAAATCTAAAGCTCTTTTAGCTTTATAAAAAAATATAAAATAAATGTGAAATGACTCTGGTGCAAACTAAAGAAAAAACAGGCAAAATCGAGTCTGATGATAGTGCAAGAGAAGAGTGGTACTAAAGGTGTATGGAAAAGAACTATTACATTTAATGGAGTAAAGTAAAGTAAAGTGTTGCAATTAGTATCCTAATTAGTATCTTTTTAGATATTATTAGATTTTATTAATAAAATTCATTAATAACAGATGCGGTGTAGGTTGGAATCCAAAATACCGAAAGAAGTTAAGATGTTAGTGCAGAAGATGCTTAATCGCAATCTGATATTGTAACAAATGCTTTTACTTCATGGCATCAATACGAAATCAAGTTTTCAAAATGATTTACAATTACAGCTCGATACTCTGCAATTAGAAAAGGATATACTATCCCTTGAAATTGAATTATTGAAAAGAAAAAATATAATATAAAATTAGAAAAACTTTAGCATAAAAAATATTATGCATGTAAGACATACGGGACAATCTTCTATCCCAGAAGATGAAGATAATTAATTTTTGAATGTATTTAAATGTATTTATTTTATTTCTAATTAAAATATAAACTGTAGTTTACAATTAAATATTTATAAAAAATTATATCATATATAAAATAAGTCATATTTAAATTAACTTTATTATTTTATGTATTTCTTGCACCTTTATTATTCATTCAAAAGTTATATTTACAATAAAATATATTAGAAATAAATTTACATTATGTTATATTTTTTAATTGGAATAGTCCTCAATCATATGGGAAAATTTTTTTTCCAGCATTATGGTCCCATTTCCAAGTAGATTTGGATAAAGGATATAAAGGGAAATTTTGATATGTTTTTAAACTATAAAAACCTTTTTTATTCTTTATTATTTTTTTTGACTATCACTTAGGAGTACTTGTAAAAAGAAAGAAATGTTTATAAAGTTTAATATTTCGGAAATGTTTCAAAAATCCCCAATACAGCTAAAATGTTGTCAATTTTAACATTTTATTTCAGTAACTGGGAAATATTGGGACAGATTTCATAATTTTTAACAATGAAGAAAATATAATACAATAACCATTTTAATTTAAGTTTTTTTTCCAAATTTTGACCTCAATGTTTTCTCTTACCTTAATATACTAGAAAATTATACTAATAATCTGATAAGCAGAGTTATTTTTTAGAATGGCTCTAATATACATATCAATCACATTAAACCATAAATTTAAATTAATTAAATTAATTAAAAATGAACTAAATGATTTGTCAACTAACATAAATAAACTTAAAATAAATCCAAATAAATGTAAAATTAAATAATTATGTTAGGAATATATGAAAATTGTATTTCTTCAGCTGATTTTTTGCATGAGGTACAATAAATTTGACAGGCTTTTCTTGATAATATCCTTCTGTGGCATGAATAATCTAAGCCAACACTAACTTGATAACGACCTTCAACATATCTTAACCATATTTCCACACCTTCCAATTTTCAAAGGACATCATTTTTTTTTATTGTAAAAATCTGACAATAAATAACTACTTAGTTCGTTAATATTATCTGGCTTAAATCGGAGATTAAATTTATGAAAGTTTATTTAAATAATTTGGACAAGAATGACATTCGAGTATTTGCATTATTTTGTGTAAATACTAAGGTGTACATATAATTAATTTTTAATTACATCAAATGAAGTGTTAACCTTAACAATTCAAGTCACTTAATGGAACACTGTAAGTGTGTTCTCTCTGTTTTCATTTATTCTACTCAATATTCAGTTTACGAAATTTCATTTTTATTTGATTTCAGTAATAAATTAATTTTCTGCTTTGAACTTTTTTTAATGTACATAAATTTTAATCTAAAATTTTATTAGCAAAATATTTAAAAAACTATTTGCAAGAAAAGTTCATATAAAACCAGATCTATTTCCCCATAGATCAACCATATGGCTCAGATATTATTGACTGATTGGTGGGAAAAGGTGTTGCTGGAAACTCATATCGTGAATATTATATTCCAGCGCTTACTTTGGTTAACGTTACATAATACGCTTCATCCATTATTTCGGGAAGTCTAGAAGTCATTTTAATTGGTGTTTGAAAGTTTCACTTATATCAGAATGGATAACGCCAAAACCGATAATGGTGGCAGCCAAAGTGCATAAGTTATAAACCCTTGGAACGTATTTAGCCAAGTAGTTATTCGTGTAACACGAACACACGATTTTCAAAATATACACAAACTCACGAAAATTGATTGTGAGTATCTAAAGAGCTGCTGAAAGATCTTTTCCGTGTTGACATATGTAAAATGCTTGTTATTGACAGAGAGGAAACAAATTATACTCATTGCAATTTAGCGAAATATTTACTATATATCTGGTATTGGAAAATGAAATAAAAGGAATGGACGCAGTATATTCGTTGTAATATACTGCATTTATGCGAGAGAAATAATTACAATATATATTTACGATTTGATAACACAAAACGAAATAAGACTAAAGGAGCGCAACAAAAGTTGAAGAACTTTTGGAATATTGGAATAACAAAGTTCAGAAAAAAAGTTTTTTACTTTTGAGTTGAATCGGTTTATAAAAACGAACT